AAAAAAAAAAAAAAAAAAAAAAAAAAAAAAAAAAAAAAAAAAAAAAAAAAAAAAAAAGAGGCAAAAGTATGAGAAAAAGAAAATGATGAAAAGAAAAAATAATTATAATCACTTTACTTTAATTGTTTCTGTTTGGTACCTTTTGAGATCAGCCTTTGTTTGGTTAAGCTTTGCCAGCTTTGCCACCATGACATTTTCCTTTCTTCACTGCTGAGGTGGGCCCACGTCATTGACTTTATTGGGACCCACCTTAAAGGAGACCCCTATCGCATGCATGCCTTTGTCTTTCTGCAATCATCTTAATTATTGATTTATTCCTCAATTTGGGCCTCGCTTTTAATTCCATATCCTTCTTATAATTTTATAATAAACTATATACACTTAATTAAGTTGTTTTTTAATGCTATTTTTAGATTAAATAATAAAACAACCCAATAATTAAATAATAAAACAACAAAAAATAATTTTGAAATATCAGAATTTTAAATTGATTTTGATTTTATAGTAAATAAGAAACTATATAGTTAAATGTATTCTCTAAATATATTATTTTCTTAATTTGAAATTTCAACCTTCCTAATATGAAAATGGTGGTCAAAAAATTTAGTTTAATCTAATAAATGAAATCTTTGAGAGATGAATACCTTATATTTTATTTTTTGTTATTTGAAAATAATAAATAAATATATATATTATGGTTGTTATAACCAGAACCACAAGGGTCACCAACCCTAGATTTATTATTTGAGTTTGAGTCAAATAATAAGCTTTGAAATTCTTTAAATATGAATTTGTTGCCTAATAAATTCAGCTTTCAATTGTATTTGTAATTATCCTTTCTATAATAAATTATTAATTTATAAATCTATAATATATATTTTTTTTTATTAAAAAAAGAAAAAATTTATTCATAATAAATAAAATGTTGCTCAGTTGTCAGTCGTCCCAACTACTGAAATCGTTTATGGGCCTTCTAGAGGAGCATGGTCCACAACTGTAAGCCCAACAATGATTACTGAAGAGGAGGGTGAAGGTGAATTATGGGGTTGCTTTTACTATACGCGGTAAAAAAATATTTACCATAGGAACCAACTTTCTCATTGAATTTTTTTTTTATTGTTTTGAAATGTTTTCAAAATTGAAATTAAGTTTTGAAAAATAATAATAATAAAAAAAGTTTTTAGTATCTTCAAAAAGTGGACACTAAAGCCTAAGCCCAAGGCAACCAACTAGGCCCAACCTTTTTGGGCTTCAATTTACATTATTATATTTTTTAAATTTAACCTTTACATAAATACTTTATTTCATAATTCAACCAAGGTAGCCAAATTATTATTTTGAGTTCGAGTGCTTTAATCACTTTATTATAATCATTTTTAAATTAAAAATTAAAGTAATTCATTTGATTCTTAATAATGTATTTTTTTAGCCAATTAAATTTTAATAATTACGAAAATATAAATAATTGTAGTATAACTATTTAAAGATGTATATATATAATTGATGTGATAAATTATGATACTGAAAAGACAATTAAAGAAAAGATAAGGAAGGGGTTTAGTTTATGGGCAAGGTGAAGCATCGCAGTATCTTTTTTGGAGTAATAAAAAATCCAGAAATTAGAGAGGAGGAAAGATAGAGACAAGATAAGTGGTAACAGACAGCCATGGTGTCCCTTGTAATGGAAGCTTTCTTCGTCTCATTTCATTTCCTTTACTCTCTCTCTCTCTCTCTCTCTATCTCTAAATCTTCCTTGAAAAAATGGCCCATCAGCCTTCTTTACCAGATCCGAATTTCCTACTTTATCCGCTTTCCGCGTCCGATTTCCTTTTCCATGTAATTCCTCACCCAATGTCCTCCACTTTCCCCTGATTTCTCCTCCATGCCTCCTCTCTGTTTCTTCTTTTACTTCCCCTTCCATTCTCTAAACCAGGTTATTCAATTTTGTACAACTTTGTTATTCAGATTTGGTTCGTTTCTGAAGTTTATTGAATTTGCTTGGTGGGTTCTGTCGATTGAGCTCTGAGAGAGTGAATTTAGAACTATGAATGAATTAATGCATTGTTTGTGCGAGATTTTGTTTGTTGTTTTGTTTCTGCTGGACTTGGTTGACCTTTCTTCCCTTTTCTTATGCAATATCTTAGCAACTTCATATATTCAACTTGGTCTACTGAGTTTTCATCTGGCCTTTGTCTTTTTGTATTCAGGCTCCTGAAGTTTGTACGGTCAAGCTGAGTTTCGTGGTACTAAATGGTGTGAACGGTGTCACTTCAATGTGAGATTTTGTCTCCATTTGGATGTGCTTATGGCAAGGAACTCTGCCTGAGGTAATAGTCTCTTAACTCTTATATATGATTCTCCTCAACTTATTCTGTCTTAAACAATGTTATCATTAAGTATACATGCCAAAGCAGAATGTTGGAACTTGAAATTCCAAATGGTTGTAACTTAAAAAGTTTTAGCTGGAGTTGATCAAAACTTCTTGAATCGTGGACTGGTTGGTATTATGTGAGATCCCATATTGGTTGGAGAGGGTAACGAAATCTTCCTTATAAGGGTGTGGAAACCTTTCTCTATCTGACGCGTTTTAAAATCTTGAGGGGGAAGTTGAGAAGGAAAAGCCAAAAGAAGATAATATCTGGTAGTGGTGAGATAGGGCTGTTGCAAATGGTATCAGAGCTAAACACCGGGCGGTGTGCCAGTGAGGACGCAGGACTCCCAAGGGGGTGGATTGTGAGATCCTATATTGGTTGGAGAGAGGAACGAAGCATTCCTTATAAGGGTGTGGAAACCTCTCCCTAGCAGACGCGTTTTAAAACCTTGAGGGAGGAAGCTCAAAGAGGACAATATCTGCTAGCGGTAAGCTAAAGCGGTTACATATTATGTTAGAAACCTAGGTGATTCTGTTCTTGTGTCTACCAGATATCAACCATTCATTGCTGCCCTTTTAAACTCAGGTCCTAGTCTCCCAGAATATCCAGTGAAGCATTTGTATTATTTATGGAACTTCTTGGTATTGGAGTAAATATGCAGGGTTCTGGCAACTATCCAAATTTTTATTTCAGTGGGGATCTAAAAGGAGTTGTTGGTGGCTGTATATGGCCTCAAACCAGTGAGGATAAAATGCTGAACGGTGGACATAGCTCCAAAGCTTTCTTGTCACCACTGTCAGCTGGTCTGTATTTTGAATGTGGTCGAGACGCGTTAAAGCAGATAATGCTAATGCAAGAAGCGACGTTTCGGGATCAGGTATATCCTCGGTCTGCAATTTATCTCTTGGCTTAGAATCATTATGGAATTATGTACTATTACCCAATCCTACCACATATTTGCAATGGTTTGCTTTGTTAGAAATCTGATATTCTTATATTTGTAGTTTGAGCTTTTAAATTCATCTGAAATTAATAAACTGTCCAGATTTACGAACTTCATCGCCTTTACAAAAGACAGAGTGAGTTCATAGCTGAGATGAAGAGGGAATCGTATAAGCATGATGTATGCATCACGACAACTCGGTCTGATTTTTATAAGTCTCGGGTCGATGCATTGTGTGCTCAGGATGCACATAACTTCCCTGCATACAGTCAATTATTTATTTCTGGGGAACAAAAGAGCTCACTACATTCAAGTTTTGGGAAGAACATTCAAACAGGTTCTAACACCCCTTCGAACGGAATCTTTTCGAAGACTCCTTATTTTTCGGAATCTAAGAGCAAGATTTTGGGAAATGGGATGTTTGATCTTGAACTTCCAACTGACAGAAAACAATTGAACGGAAGAGATGAATTGACAAAAGTGCCTGAAATGTCAAGCTTTCATCTCAAGAGAATGCCTGATATTGTTCATATTAGTGATAAACCTTTTCTTTCCAAGCATGATTTGAATGCTTCATTACATAGGGATTCTTCAACGGCTGATTCATTGTTCGAGAAAACCAAGATCTCAGTCGATTTAAATGATCCTCCTAACATCGAGGAAGAACCCGGCTGTAGATCCGTTGGTTTAGAGGACGCTACTGGCCATAGGGGGATTCTTTTCCATGATCTCAATGGCAAAGCCAATTCAAAATTTCTTGTTTTCTCAGAGCCAGATGTCCATGGAAGGAGAAATGGCCCCTCTAACAATGGCTATTCTGAATCGATTAGCTTTTATGACAGAAGCAAAAGATATCAACCAGACAAAGATATTACAAATTCTAGTCTGTCATCATCCACTGCATCTATGACAAAATCTGTACAAGGTCCCATAGGAAATGCAATGCTGGCTGAAGATGATCTCTGTAGTGTTAAGAACTCGAGATCTCGCACTGGGTCTAGTAGTGTGAACCCCCTTGAAGGAAGCTTCTGTAATGGCTCCAAGTCCGAGATCGTGAAAGAAGAATCATTCTGCAAGGCTTCTGCAAATTGGATCGAAGGTCGAATTGACCTCAACGTCTGCATAAATGAAGAATTTTTGGCCACGCCTTGTTGCTCCACTGAAATGAAACTGGAGGTACCTGCAAGTCCAGGAAAGGGAAAACACTCTTCAACTACAGGAGAGTTTGGTGATAACCAAGTTGGATCACATTTTCTAAAGTCAGTTGAAGACGATGGCGAACCGTTGGAGGATGTCAATGCGATTGCAGCAGAAGCTCTGGTTTCTATTTCATCATCTGTGGCTCAAAATTGTCGAAAAATCACCGGCTGTCAGTCCGTTCAAGTTTCATGGGAATCCTTATGCTGGTTAGCCGAAATAGTTTCTTCAATGGGAGCTGAGCCAGAGAAAGGTGAAGTAGCCATGAAATGTAAGGATGGCAGTGACTCAGAGGAGCCTTTGTCCAATTGCATGGATGACTTTGAGGTCATGACATTGAAGTTGAAAGAAACAGTAGAGGAAGAGTGTTCGTTGACAAGAAGTAACCACCAAGAGGAGGCAACAAAAAATGTTTCTTCACCTTCGTGTCAACTGGAGAAGGGCCGTGCGAGGCGGGGTCAGCGCAAGAACTTTCAGACAGAAATTCTTCCAAGTCTTACAACTTTGTCGAGGTACGAGGTTACAGAAGATATTCAGACAATTGGAGGCCTGATGGAAATCACAAGTTCTCACTCGATAAACGGTGTAACGAAAACTCCAAGTAGAGTCGGAACGACATGGACTAGAGGGAAGAGACGGTTGTGTGATTCATCTTCAAAAGTTACAGAGGCTATGACAGGGTCGATCATGGATCAAGTAAGCAGTGGCAATGAAGTAGAGAATAAAGAAAGAAAGGTTATAGTTTGGGGAAATATTACACGGCGGCGGAGGGGACGGAGATATCCAGCTTGTACCAGAAAGACTATTTTAGGACAAGTATAGTTGGACTATCATATTTGATCTGTAAATTTTGCTAAGTTCTATTCAGCTCTCCATTTTGAGTCAATTGTTTGTGCCATTTAAGACAAAGTTATACTGCAAAGAAGGAAACCGCCATTGTATATGCAGACAGGTAGTTTCGGTAAATGAAGTTATCTCATGCTGGTTTGGTTTATGAGTTTTAGTTTACACCCAACTTTTCTGTGCTCTGCGTGTGGGATTTTACTCAACCAAGCTTTTACATCAGGTCCGGAGGAAGCCATTTATAGCGTTTTGCTTACTGACGCTGGTCGGTGTACCAGCGAGAACATTGGCCCCTCAAAGGAGTGGATTGCGAGACACCATGTTGGTTGGAGAGGGGAGCAAAACATTTCTTTATAAGGGTGTGGAAGCCTCTCTCTCTCTGTCATACGCGGTTTAAAAAACTTCGAAGAGAAACTAGGATAATATGTGCTAACGGTTGACTTGAACAACCTTTTTTATGGATTGCATCATATCATATCATCCCCATCAGTTGAGCTTGTGATTTAAACTAATACTTACAACAATCATGGCATATGCTGGAATATTTATACCTAATAAAGCCAACATCTATCCAACTACTTTAACTCATTCATTAGTTAAATAATAGCAAACGGTCCTTGTGACATTACATCAAAGCTAAAATATTTTATAGAAAATTTGTAATGGGCAACTATAATACTTGGTCATATTTCACAAATATGTATCAAAATATTTGATTGGTATATCAACACTCATGTAAGATATATTATTAGTATGATTTATTTAATCCCCATTTTCCCACCAAAAAGTAATAATCCCGGGCATTAACCAACTAATTAAGCCATTCTGCGAAGGAACTGTTGGCGGAAATGATTGGGGGAGTTGTGTAAAACCAAAAATGAAGTTGAAAAGAAGATGGTGGTTTGATTTGAATGGGGTTCTCGCTTACCAATGCCCGCCATGCCCGATTGGTTGTAACATATGCTCTAAAATGGAAGCGGGAGATTGTTTTGCTGCAACAAACGCGGCCTCTTATATGATTCAGCTCCCTCCATCACAACCCCAAATCTTTTCCCTCACCTATCTGCACCAAAAAGGTATGTACGACCCTTTTTGTGGTCTTCTCGATTTCTTTGCTTTTTTCTTCTCGTTCGCGCGCAATTAAGTAGCCTCTCTTTTTCTGATTCTTTTGCTTTCGCTTTTGCATTATGTGAATTGCGCTTCGCCTCATTTTCGCGAATGACTTCGATTAGTTGTTGGGTATGATGCAGGATTGTGATCGAATAAATGAAAGTTTTCTAGGCAAGTTTTTTGAGTTTTCTGTGTTATGATCGTAAGAATGGACATAATATCGAATTACAAATGGGCACTTCTCTGTTCTGTTCTGTTCTGTTCTTTTCGGTTTTATGATGAGGTTTTTTCAGGTTATTGTGTTCCTTTTTTCTTCCCTGAATGTGTCGGTATTGGCAAAATGTCATTGATTTCATTGGATATTCTAGCTTTCTTGGTAGATGGAGAAATCGTTGAGCTAAGAGTTCCCTTTTGTGGGTTAAGAAGCAAGTTTTATATTCTCATGAATATGCCAATTTAAAAGTGAAATCATATAAGAATTATGTTATGTTATGTTACGTTATGATCATGGTTGTGATTGTTTGTTTGTCTATCATATGCCCTTTGTCTGAGTAAATCTCATCTGCTGCAGGGTTCTGCTCAATAGTTTTTTCGTTTAATGGCGGAGCAGAACAATGATATACCTCTTGCTATGGAGGAGGTAAGCGGGGATGAAGCTAGACAAGACGAGAGCTTTGATATCCCTGTCATTGAAGTTGCAGAGACCAGTAAGCCTGATGATATCACCGAGGAAAGCATTGATATCCCTGTCATTGCAGTTGCAGAGACCAGTGAGCCTGAAGATATCACCGAGAAAGGCATTGATGTCATTGATATCCCAGCCACTACGGAGGTTAATGAGCCTGAAAGTTGCAATGTAGAAGTTATTGTGCACATTAATACCCCAAAGATGAAACCAAAAATTCTCTCTCGCTATCTCCTACCGCACACAGGCTCATGCCATGATTTTTGCAAATATGGTGCTAAACAGGATCTTGAAGGGAAGCCTGCACGTTCAATCTTGAGAAAAGCTAAATCAATGGGAGGTGGTGGCCGGGATTTGAGGAGGATTATGGTTTTGTTGGCGAAACAGAATACAATCAGTCCGAAGTCCTCCCCAGATTACAATGCCATCAATATTACTGACGTGAAGGAAGATATAATTTCTTTCCCTGAGATTGTTACTCCCTCTCCAAAAAGGCCTTTACCTTCTATCAAGGAAGTGCAGGCTGCATCAGTGCATTACCGTCGGACGAAACTTAATTTGTCCCGATCGAAGGCGTCTTCTTTTGCAAGACAAGTTAGTTCACGAACCAAAAGAAACAAAGAACTTCGAAAGGATAAGAAACAAGATGGAGATGGAAGTTCAAGCAGTTGTACAAATAGCACAAGTAGATGCCAAGAGAGAAATATCTCCGCAGAGGAGGATATGAAGGACTTGGTGCCACGAGTACTTTTTCGTGTTCCAAGAAATCGTGTCAAGCGTGTTACAATTGCAGATAAGAAAATCACTGGGAGGTGTGGTCTGAAGAGACCAAAGCATCCCAGAAAATATAAACCTGATCCATTTAACAATGAGGATGTAGAGGAGAAAACTTTATACATGATTGAACCATCCACCAAGAATGAAACAGAGGAATTGGCTCAGAATAGTGTTCAAACCGCTGAGTCTCGATCACAATCTTCATCTGCAACAGACAACAGCTTGAAGCATGAACAAGAGTCTGATGGATCCTCCGTATTGCCACCATTGTCAGTGAAAAAGAACATGAGACATGCTAGAAATAGAACTAGTCCTAAAATTTTATCTACCAAGAATGAAACAGAGGAATTGACTCAAAAATGTATTCAAACCGCTGTGTCTCGACCACAGTCTTCATCTGCAACAGACAACAGCTTGAAGCATGAACAAGAGTCTGATGGATCCCCCATAGTGCCACCATTGTCAGTGAAAAAGAACGTTAGGCGTGCTAGAAAGAGAACTAGTACTAAAATTTTATCTACCAAGAATGAAATAGAGGAATTGACCCAAAATAGTGTTCAAACCGCCGAGTCTCGACTACAATATTCATCTGCAACAGACAACAGCTTGAAGCATGAACAAGAGTCTGATGGGGCCCTCATAGTGTCACCATTGTCAGTGAAAAAGAACGTGAGGCGTTCTAGAAGTAGAACAAGTCCTAAAATTTTATCAACCAAGAATGAAACAGAGGAATTGGCTCAAAATAGTGTTCAAACCGCTGAGTCTCGACCACAATCTTCATTTGCAACAGACAACAGATTGAAGCATCAACTAGAGTCTGGTGGAGCCCCCATAGTGTCACCATGGTCAGTGAAAAAGAACGTGAGGCGTGTTAGAAATAGAACTAGTCCTAAAATTTTATCTACCAAGAATGAAACAGAGGAATTGACTCTAAATAGAGTTCAAACTGCTGTGTTTCGACCACAATCTTCATTTGCAACATACAACAGCTTGAAGCATCAACAAGAGTCTGATAGAGCCCCCATAGTGCCACCATTGTCAGTGAAAAAGAACGTGAGGCGTGCTAGAAATAGAACTACTCCTAAAAGTTTATCGACGTTTCCATCGGTATCCAAGGAATTCAAAGGTATAAGTAAAAGTTTATCAACGTCTCCATTGGTATCCAAGGAATTCAAAGGCATAAGTAAAAGTTTATCAACGTCTCCCTTGGTATCCAAGGAATTCAAAGGTATAAGTAAAAGTTTATCAACATCTCCATTGGTACCCAAGGAATTCAGAGGTATAAGTAAAAGTTTATCAACGTCTCCATCGGTATCCAAGGAATTCAAAGGTATAAGACATAAGAGATTTGGTATGGCTCATATGACGGAGACCCGATCAGCTCCTTCATCACCATTTTCATCTAGGTACCCATCTGAACGCGTCCATGTTGAGCATCGTGGCTCTACTTCAGGAAATGATATGAAAAAAAGTGAGAATTCAAAGGTGGAACTCAAGCTTAAGACCCGAAGGATGGCTCTAAGTGATTCTGGAGATAGTCAATCTAGAAAGCTGAAGTTTAGGAAGGGGAGGATGCTTGAACTTCAAACTGAAACCAGTACGCCAAGGAGGCTTAAATTTCGGCGTGTACGTTTACTTGGTGAGATTCAAAGTCCTAAAGTTGATTTAAGAAACAGAAACATGAAGGGTAAAGAGGCCAACCAAAATGGTATTGAAGTGAAGGAAGATGAGAAGGAATTTAAGAGAAAGAAAATCTTTAGGAGGAAGGAAACTATCGAGGGAAAATTCATTTCTAGTAGACTCAAATCTGAGAGAGTTGTTCTTAGACATCAGGATTCGAGAGGAAAGAAAGAAACCCTAAATCTGCTTAATAATGTCATTGAAGAGACAGCAAGCAAGCTTGCACAGACCAGGAACAGTAAGGTCAAGGCATTGGTTGGTGCCTTTGAAACTGTGATATCATTACAGGATACAAGAACCCTTGCAGCAGGTGTTGCATAATATATAAGCTGTATGATAAAGATATAATATATTTCATGTATATAACAATCTGGAAAGGGTAATATATTCATATATATATATATATATATATATATATATATATATCAAATGTGACATGAGAGTAAAGTAAAAGACTTTGATCGAAATGATATGGCCAATGTGGAGAAGGGTTGAGTTATTTCAGTGAAGTTTTTTTTTTTTTTTTTTTTTTGGAAAATTATATTTATTGTGTGGTGGATTCATTATTATTATTGTTTAAAAAGTGAAATGATTGATTAATTTGCTCCATGATTTTGTGCATACCAAACTCACATCAATGCAAAAGTTCTAGAAGATTAAAGCTGTACTTATCTCTGTTTATGCAATCAAATCCATCATTCTTTGAGAAGAGTGAGTTTGAGGCCACAATGAAAGAAACATAAGAAACAATTTACACAACATCACAATGACTTGATATTGATTTTGGATTGGAATTTGTTAGGTGAAGTGTAAGTGAATAGGAGCTGCATGATTTGATGCTTCTCTTTTCACCAGGACTGTCTCATTGTTAGTGATACTGGATGCAGAAACAAGTCACAGGAAGTCTTCCGGTCGACCTGATTCGGTTAGCTGTTTCTCTTGCTTTCTTCTCTTCCCTTATTCTTTTTTGTTCTAGTTGTGCCCTTGCTCCCTCCGTGATCTGGTCGATTCGTACTATGTTGTCCTGGTAATTTTGCAGAAACAGTGCCTTTTTGTTCTCCAATTCAGCCTTCACGAACAGAAGTTTTTTTCAGTTGACATTAAAATGTATTATAGTAAGGAAAACATCCAAAAGGTGGGGTAAGACCATTTTCTTTTCCTTATGAAGTTTGGCATGCATTTTCTTCTTATTCTCCCAGGCATGAATTGACAATTTTATTTTTTCGTACCTGAAATATGAGATTGTCTTAGAAAAGAACTGCAAGTGTTCAATGAACTTGAGAACTTGGAACTGTGAGGTCCACTCCTGAGTATTGATTAATGCAGAAATTAGTATATACCTTTTTCTAATCTTCTCCATGTTATGTCTCTCCCACACATCAGCTCTAGTTTCTACAAGGCTTCGTCTTGGTGGCGATAAAGGAATTCCAGTCATTGAGTCCTTTTCATGTCCCGTTGGCTTCTTTATGGAAGATTGGCCTAGTGTAATGAACATGATACCTTTTGTGACAAGAAATTCTTATAGGAAATTTCTAAGCTCTATGTTTAAATTTTACCAGGATTTGTTGTTTCTTTGTTAGACGGTCGCCTGGTTATGTCATCTTTTCTGGTTTTAACCTTTGTTAAGGGCGTTTCCAGACTTCCACTCTTATTTTTCTGGTATTGTAAATCAGTTTCTTCTTGTGAGCGAATTGCAAATGCAGCTGATGCTGCTGCAGTGGCAAACTCTAAATCCCTTGAATCATAATCCTCGTTCATTTCGTTTGCAAAATACCACCGTAACTTCTTGGACTCCTTTTTATGAGTACCCTCTTTGGAGGATCTTGTTTTTTGCTGTGGAATTCCATCTCTTGGTTTGATGGAAGCATCTTTGTTATGTCGTCCTGAATCCGAAAAACTCGGCCTACAAAGCAGTCAATAGCCATATTACTTTCAGTATTCAAATAAAAGAGGACAAGAAGAGGAAACTCTTTGGTGTTGTAGAACCTAAGCTGAGCTGAGTTTGGCCAATGGTGACTCAGAGATCTGATTTGATTACTTTTCTGTTTCAATGATTCTTTTCATTTTATCCCTTGTAAAACCTTTTGGGTTGTAAATGATGATGAACCAGATGAAAGAGTGATGAACATACATCAAATATTCAAACTGGGGAATGGAGATCAAGAGATAAGAAAAGTATACCTCCTTTGAAATGTCAAAGTTTCCATGTGCTGAAATCTCAAGCTTATATCGATACCTCTCAAATTTCTGAAACTGTTTATGAAGTTAATATGTATTGTATCTTTACGCAGGGACGTTGCGAAGCGAAGGAAATGCCTTCTTTGCACTCAACTCCATTCCAAAGCAAGGCATTTTCTTCTTCATCGCCTTCCATTGATTCTATTTCTATTACACTCAACCTTTTTCATTCTTTCTCTGTGTTTGGATAAATCTGCAATCAACTTTTTTTTTCTCCTTTTCGTTTTTGGGATAAATCTATACTCACAACTTTATAAAAGCTTCTTAACTTAACCCACTTCCCAAATTTTAAAAAATGGAACCCTTCTTTTCGTCAAGGATTTCTCCATATTAATCATTAATAAATCTGCAAAAGCTATGATTTTTAGAGTTAAAAGAACAAGTTTAAGAACATGGATGATCATAAGTTTATGATAAAAATTTATTTGGGGCAGGGATGATCTTTAGATTAGTTATGGAGTAGTTGAATGTAAGAGAAGATATGGTGGGAAAATGGAAATCTCTTAGTATACTTTTCGTCTCTTGCCGGAGATGGCATCCCCGTCGGGATCCGAATCCTCTCGCTCTTTCGTTCTCTCCTGCGAATAGCGCGTCAATTTCCCGATTACAACATCAGAGAGTACACCACAACCCCGCACCATTGATACCTTCCGAGGAAGTCGGAGCCTCTCTCACCCTTCAACGATATCCTCCGCCTACGCCGACGGCAGAGCTCAGCTCGAGGTTCCGAAGCGCCCAGGCCCTCTGAGTTCTAATTTTTTCTGGTAGGTTTGTCTGGGGTTCTAGGAATTTGAACCCATCAGAACTCGGATCGGTAAACAATCCCGTGTTCGAAAATGCACGTTTCTAATTTATTGAAATGAAATTGTTCGAATGTGGTTGTTTGTATACACTGCTCAAGATGAACTAAGAATGATAAAATCAGTGCAGTTACCTTCTAGTCCTAGTCAAGTAACTAGTGATCTCAAACAGACAACGTCAGCTAGGACATGGTGTATAATACCTATTTCTGAAAGTAAAAAGAAAACAAAGCCAGGAAAATGGAAGATGTACATAACTATCAGCAAGCTAATCACAAATGTGAGGGCCTTGAACTCTATTTCCCGAGCAGACGACGACCCCGTCGGTTAGCATCTTTAACTCGGTCACCGATCACCTCAACATCAACAGAAGCGTGATCCAGAGCATGGTTCTGCCTGTAATAAGCAACAAATCATCTCAATATCTAATGTACACACTTGTCTTCATGTCTTTGATTTGCAAGAACAAGCACACGAGTTATTATGGAATATAGAAACGAACTAACCTATCAATTTCACAACCCATGTCAACAGCCATTTCCTTCAGCTCTACCAAGATATCGCTCATGTCAGATAGTGCATCATCTTGCTTCACCTTTTCTACCTGTGTATGTAATTTTCAAACACAAAGCATATGTAAGACGAATGATACTGCATTTTGGAAATGATCATTATGCTTTGGGTATCATGGTACAGATTTGTGCAACAGTATCTTCAAGAATGACTAAAACCACAAATCTATGCCAAATGCAATAATTCCTGCCACCTGTAAGCTGAGAGGGTGGTAGATTTCGAACCTTTGACCTCTTGGTCGAAGACATATTTTAACTAGTTGAACTATGTTTGGGTTGATATGCTCCAATCTACCGTTTTGAAGTAACTATTTACAGATAGCAAATACAAACCTCAACTTTTTGAATTGCACTGGTAGGTTCGGCATATGCAGCTTTTGTATTGGTCCGGTCCTTATGACGTGTCAATCCTAACTTTTCCTTCTGCTCCATGTGGTTGCCCTTTCTTCTAACTAAATCCTCTACAAAATGGGAATAAACAGATCAGTTGCACAGAATTTCAACAAGTTACCATCTAACCCTGAATCTCATGAGCAGAATGTGGCTAACCTGAGCTTATAACAGGTCCTGATATTGGTCGAGTTTTCTTTGGCTTCCATGTCTTGGAGAACATTCCCCCTAGATTTCCCAGCAGTTTCTCTCCCTGATATTGCATTCATGAAAAGACTCACTTAGAAAATAGAGTGACTGGAGATTAACTCATCAAACAAATAAATAGATGACAGAGCTTAACATATACAGGCAAAGTTAATGCTAGTAATTTCTAGACCACAGAAACACCAAGATCAAATCCTTGGCGTTTCGTCGAGTCCTCCCGAGACACGAAAGTGAACAAATGGGATTTCGAACATACCCGACTGAGGTCATAATCAATGTCAGCAGCAACCATATGAGTCCTGTTAATTTGCTCACCCTGCTGATGCAAGGCAACCAAAGTTTGGGTAGCATCATCCCTTATCTCTTCAGCAATCTTTAGACAGCCATTCACTGCTTTTGTTGTCTCCTCAGACTTATAAACAGCATAATTCTCCAGCTCCTGCACTGATTGGTTTTCTATTCCTCCCGAGTCACGGAAATCATTCTTGTACTTGTTCCTTTCTGACCAAGTTAGTGAACCTGAAGAAGAGGGAGCCTGTCCATGATGATCATCAAAAGGATTGGAGCCAAAATTCTCCGTCACTAATGAAGGGTCTGACGAAGTCCTTTGTGCAGAAACCTGGTTTTGCTTAGCTTTAACACCATCGTCAGACTCAAAAGGGTTCGGGGTAGAACTATGTTTCCCTATCCTCAAATGAGCCTTCCTTGAACCAAACATTTTCCCAAGGGTTTAGAATGCAAAAAATTGGTGACAGTTTTTTTCCTGGAAATGGAAGATATCAAGATCATGTCAGCAGAAGAAACAAAATACAAAATCGATCAAAACAGTCAATTTCATTGAAGAACAGTGGGATGTTCTAAGATTTAGATTCTTATTTAAACAACTTCAATCAGTTTGGATTATGGAATAGCAGTGGTTCTAGGAGAAATTGATCCAAAATGGATGTACTAACAGAAGAGATGATAGCACGATCAAAAACTAAACTGGACAAGAAGCTAACAAACAAAATCATGTAAAGGCGAAGAAGGAAGTTGATGATGAATACCCAGAGACAAAAATCCAAGAAAGAAAAGAATTGGAGTACCTTGAGAGTTCAGAGAACGAAGGGAACAGAACAATTCCACAAACCCAAAATCTAAGAAACTGCAAAATCAAAACCGAATCGTAGAATTTAAGGGCGCGATGGAGAGAGGTGGGTTGGTTCAATATAGACGACTTGGGCAACGAGAAAATCAATCAAGAAACCGCGTTTGAGAAAATTGTTTGAAAGAGGAAACTAGCACCCACGAGGAAGTTCAATGATGAAGACGCGCTGTAAACAAACCGCTTATTCATCTTTTGGATAAAAAAAATGATCAAACAGTGTTGATGGATTTGGTCAAAAATTAGGAAGCGATGAATAATCTCAGAGTGAAATTCAACTTTGATCGCCTTAGAAAGTCAACTTTCACTATCTATGAACTATATCTTTGTCATCTTTCTCCTTCTGTTAACTTATCGACCTTCCATTTTCTGTTATTTAGTCTAAGTCTTTTTTTTTTCTTTCTACTCAATAACATCGGGTAGAATGTTAATATAAACCTAACTTATGGATGGATCGATTCTTGAACAATTATTGAGCTAAAAAGAATATAACCTGTAGTCATAACATTTGAAATTACTAATATTATTACTTGTAAAATACTAAAATTTACATTTTAAGACCTCGCTTTCAGTATACTAGTCAATTAGGAAGGAAAAAGAAAAGTCTGCTTTTATCAACTTGTCCGTAGCTATCCGTAAATGTTATCCAAATTGGTGAGATGGAGAGAGGGGGATATTACTTTATATTAAAGTCCCATTTGAATTAGAGCATTACATAGCTCCCATCAGCCTAGCATCAGCAATCACAAGACACACCACCAGCTTTCCCACATTATTAATTGTTGCCACTGAGCTAATTTATGGCAAAACAAGATGAGTAGAAGCAATGTGGGAATTAAAACAAGGAATGGGCGCCTACAAAACTTCCCATATTGCAAAATGCACAAATACAGCATTCTTGTCTTGCTTCAAATACAAATACAAATACATATACATATACATCTACAACAGTGAGGACATTATGTTAATTCAAACAAGTTTTCATCACATAACTCATGAGAAGGAGGCACTCTGATCAGAAATATAGGATCAGAGCTGCCAGAAAGAACTGCGCAAAGCTAAGGTACTTCATATTCTTGATTGTAGCAACAATGCACGAGGAAAATATAGGAGTCATTTGCGACAACATCTGGGAAAGCCAAGAGGAAAATATAGCAGTCATTGTTTGCAAGTAAAATTCACCGGTCCCGTCCCAAAGGTACTCAAAAGAGAGTAAGCTACTTCATTGAAGAGGATGAGTTGGAGCCAACGAATGGGAAAGAGGTACGTTAAAAGAATGACGACACTAGGATTCCACTAATGAGAAGAACTGTTCTATTCTTAGCCAGCATTAACACGATAAAAATATTTGCAGAAGGCATCTCTCACAGTCAAAGATAAGTTTCCAGTGCTTTTATTCTCTTCCCATAACTACTGACATGATAACTTTTTTTTTTTTCCGTTTTCTTTAATGAAATTGCTAATTTTTTTATGAGCACGGAGCTGGTACCCAAAGCCAATTCAATTGTCATGCTGATACTAAATATCGAAGAAATAGTAAAGCGATGCAAACCTCTGATTCACATTCTTCCTCAAGCAGCTTTTAATTTATACACCAACTACTATATCTCGCACATGCACCTTGCGACAGCAAATGATCTGTTCCGTTCTTTTAGAACCTAAAAAGAAGCAGCTGTTAGTTAAAAAAACCAAAAAGAAAAAAAGATACGGTGCTTCAGATGGGATATAAGACTTGAAAAACCCAGGCAGAATACCTGTGCCTCTAACTGAGAAATTCTCTGTAAAGACGCCTGTTCAATGCAAGCCCGGCGCTTGCACTCTTCTTCAAGCAAACCAGTAATTTGGTACCTTAGCTCAGCCATTTCTTGAGCAAGGTCCTCTGCTTCTTCTTTTGCTTTCAACTTCTCCTCTCTTAACTCCTCCTGTCAACCACTAGAATGTTACAACCTGGAGGCTTCAAATAAACAGAATCATATTGCCTACAAAAAGAACCAATCGACTCAACTAAATGGATTCTTTTAGGCAGTTCAACATTAGGAAAAAGCAAATGGAGTCCCAATGAGAATCTTGCATCTGTCTGTAGTTATCAAAGACGATTGAATGCATCATACCTTCAGTTGATTCACAAGAAGTTCATAATCTTGTATCTGCTTTGCCATCACATTCATTTTGACTTCTGAATTTGCATCTGCAAATAGTGCAACTGCTAATTTTGGAATAAGATGGCCCAAGAGTTCGCCACAACTGTCACATAAGATAATAATGTGTAAATGATGGCAAAGAATTTGCATCCACTTTTGAATTAGCATTTCAAAAGTATATTAATGGATTCTCTAGGACCAGATTTTGTTCTTCGCTGGCGAGAAAGGTCATTGTTTAGAATTTAGAAGGAAAACAGGTACGAAGTGAAGAAAAATATGATGACACTAACAGAAGGTAACTTCATCAGGATCATAACAACTCAAAATAACTAGCAGCCAATATACAATCTGGACCCTTTATTACTATTAAACTCCGCCAAGGCCTATCATTTAAAAGGAAACTTCATTATAACCATTGAGGTTTGTAATGAAAAAAACCTTATGAACCAACAGATATGGTGTCCAATGAAGTTCGAACATACTTCCCAAAGTAATGAGAATCAAAAGGCAGAGACCATGGATTTTTAAATTTATATCAATACCTAGTCTCAAGTAGTGATGTCAACTTGCTATCCCGGACATTTGAGAAACACACAGTATTTTGTGATCTTTCCTTGTTTTCAATCAATTCCTCAACACTTCGACAAAATGTGGAGGCATTTTTAGTTGACATATCCAGCTCTCTTTGAAGTTCCTTTTTTTCTTTCTCCAGAGACTCGATATTTTTCTGTGCATTCTGAAGCTGCCGAATCAATCTATCCATTCTATCATTCAGATGAAGAGCCTCTTCCTGAACTTTCTTGGTTTCTAAGAAACGCTGCTCCATGGCCACCATATCCAATTTCATAATCTCAATTTCACATTGAGACTCCAATGTCATAGATGAGATGGACTCCTCAAGTTTTTCTATATAGGAATTTGATTCTCGTAGCTTCTTTTCCTTGTCATCCAATTTCTGCATCAAGAAGAGGGACTCTAAGTTTGAACGCTTCACCTCTTCCTCTAACTTGCCAGCCTTTACTTGCAAACGCTCCATGTGAACTAATTTAAATTCGAGGTTTTCAATGTGATCAACCAGGTAGTTTAATTCTGTGTTCCTTAAACATAATTGATCCTGCAGGTAATCTGTGGTGAATGTTGTTGTTGGACTATGTTAAAAAAAGACTCATAAGAATATACGTCAAGAATGGAGGACAGCACACTGCCACAGACATCAAACCATGCCAGAAATTCAACAATCATCATTTTCCTAGAATCATTAATGATTCGGAAATGCAATAATATTCAACAGCAAACACCCGTTTAAAAAACCTAAATATGTATACACACATATCTACGCATATCTTTAAACCCCTATACCGAAAACAGAAGGTTCAGTTAGTGCTAAAAAGGATCGAGATTTTCATGGTGACCAGCAACCATAGTTCCAAAATTAAGGAAATATGATCATTTGGATACCTTCCGTTGAATGAATCTATTTGTCTTTTTAATATCTATTTAAACATAAGCTCTTCAATAAATTATATTATTGTCTTTATGTATTCGACCATTGTTATTAAATGTCCATTTCAGTAAGTTCATTGATAAGATAGACTTCTCAATTTAGTCTATAAATGATTTTAAAAGGTTCCTCAAATGCTCATTTACAGGAGTTCAATTTAGAAGTAGTCTCCTACACGCTACATTACAAACAACATCCTTTACCTATTTCCTGAGTGCAGTTTGTTAACCGCTTCTCCAAGTTTTCAATGCAAAGCCTGTCTTCCTCGCGTGCTTCTGATAAGGATTTCACATGTAGTTCTAGTCGCTGCATCAGACAGTCAAAAATAATTAAGTTCATCTGGATGATAATTGAAATGTCTACATTGAGTTTCAAGTGCTCATTCCAGATAAACTAAATAGGCATGAAAAAGCAACATAAAGTGACAATATAAAACAATCTTGATTCACTAAAGTCATCCAAAGAGCTGCTGAGAGCTGAAAAAACATCAAGCATATTGAAGGCTTCCATCACATTCTGCACCGTAACCGAGGGAAAAGATTCAGCATCAAACTTACCCTTATCAATTCAAAGCTTTGAGGCCGTGAATCTATTAGTGTGTCCTTTTCTTTCTTTAGCTGCATAGTTAAAAATGATACCAATTAAAGAAAAAGCTTAAAAGAGATAGAAAAGGCCCAAATCCATCGAATTTGTCCAAATATGCAGGACACGTATAATACTTAGAAACATTAATCTTTTGTCTTTTTTTAAGAAAAGGGGGCTTTACGGCCAAACTTGAGCCAATATTAGAGACATTTAAAAAATCTAAATTGGAATGATCCCTATAATGTGAAACAATCACTTCCAGTCATTTTAATTTCCAAACACGTATCAAGAGAGAAACTTTCAGCAAGTATACAGAAAATATACCTGCCGACATCTTGTCTCAATCTCTATAAGTTCCTCTAAATCAGATGAACTATAGCTACTGCTCCTGCGACTCAACATTGGTGAAACAAAATCCTTCGACTTAGAGGAATGCACAGGGGCAAGTACCTGGACATGCAAAACTATCAGAAGACACTGAAGTCTACAAGGTAAACGTAAAACAAAAAATTATTTGTAGCAATTGCTAAAGCATGACCATGAACTAATTCCCGTGGGGGAGAAAGAGAATTAAAGGGAAAAGAAAACTACAGTTTTCACTCCTAAATGAAAATAAAAAACGTCAATTTCAATTTTCAAGAAAAGGTCCACCGCTGCAAACAATTAGAGATAAAGGAGATAATATGGTTCAACTAATTCATTTCGACAAGCCAAAAATCCCTTCGAACAAGTAATCCCAAAGCAAATTATATTGAACAATGAACAATACATTACTTCTAACTACCGGAAGCTGAAAAAGATTACACGGGAAAGTACCTTAGCGAAAGCTAACTTTATCCTCCGAAAGATGCGTACCTGAGAATATCGATAACTTCGTAACTTGGCAGATCGAATTTGAATTCTCGGAACCAACTCAATAACAATCAAAAACATGCATCA